CTGAGAAAAGCCACCAAAAACCTCAGTCAGGATAACTGTTTTTCCGACCGAGAATCGAGCGGAGCACCTCTGTAGAGTTACGTCTACCCCAATATGCTCGATAAGCCTATCCTGCAACAGCTGTAGTACGGTATGAGGGGGATCTGATGTAAACAGAGTGTGAGCTGAGAATCCACTGTGCCCTGTTTTGGGGATGTCGGAGTAAGACTAAAGTTTAGACAAAAATTTTCATAAATTCCCACAAGAACCCAGAGTTCCGTAACATCAAGCCAGGGAACAAGAAATTATTTTGGATACTGTAAACACTGTGGGATGGAAGGGAGATGGCCAGCCAAGCTTCAAAGACAACAATGCTGAACTTGGCACAGAAGCCTTCCTGTCCACCGCGATAAGTGTGTTCGAACTGCAGGTGTCTCGCGTTGCAAGTTCATAAGCGCTGTAAGACAGATTTCGAATGTAATCCCGTAAAGTCACACAGAGAATATGTTAGTATTTACTTGTAGTTTAATTACGATGTTATTGGTAGCTCAGAATATATAGTGTCGAATGACTTCACGACACTGACCAAAAAATTTTAAAAGGTGTATAAGAAACGTGTCGTAGCCTAATACATTGTATTACCCAGGCACTTGCCTGGACAGACTGAGAAGTACCACAAACATATTATGATTTTTCGTGTGCAGGTTGAGGTTCAAGCCTGTTACCTCACGAATAAATCACAGACTTGAGGTTATTACTGCGGTGGTAACGAACAATCAAGGTAGCCGAGCAATCTAAGACATGCACTGTCTTCGCTCGCTCGGAAGCCGGGATCGTGGGTTCCAATCCCACTCAGGGCATGTATGTATTTTCTGAGATCTGCAATGGTCCCTTGTCGGAGCCTGGATAGCGGAGTCGGTATAGCGACTGCCTACAGGCTGGAAGGAGGGGTCGGAGTTCGAGTCACGGTACGAGCAAGATTTGTCTCCTCTCCACGTCGTCCAGACAGGTTCTGGGGCCCACCCAGCCTCCTATCCAATAGGTACCGGGGTCTCTTTCCTCGGGGGTAAAGCGGTCGGGGCATGAAATTAACCACTCACCTCCAGCTAGTACCGAAATCAAGAAAATGTGGATCTATACATCCACTCCCCCATACGCCTTAATTAGTTAAGCAAAGGGACAACTTTATCTTTTGCAAACGACCTCACGCTGCGTCTGTGTGCTGGAATGCGATACAACTAATAGTGCAGTGAAATGACATTTAAATGAATCGAAACAGTATGAGGATACATTATTAAAAATACTAGTAGTTTCGCAACTATTTAGTACCAAAAATAGGTCAGATTAAATGCAGTTTTTGAATGTCTGAAAATTTCGCTGATCATAAAACTACCATGTAAATATGTTGTTTCAATTTCCCAAGCTCTTTGCGCTCATAAAGCATGAAATATTAGCCGTGAGTGATGCTTGTTTGTGGCTCAACATGGCGCTGATCGTACAAGAACAGCTGTTCCCCTTTCTAATTTCGGAATTGGATGGTTTGTGTGAATAGCTTTCTATATTGTCACGGAAACTACAGTAGATATATAAGTATAGAGGCAGTGAAAAATTAATTAATTAATTAACGCAGAAACGATGTGTTTAATATTTTGTCAGAGCACTCTACTCGGCACAGCTCGTCACAGAGCACCTGACAAGCAGCAAAGATGAGGAGAACATTACAGTACACATGGCAATCACTATTGTCTATATTTGATTTACGGTAGAATTAATCGAACTCTTGAGATTGCACTAACTAATTATTATATGTCCTATTCCCATGTGAGAATAAATAATGCACAGGAGAAATCGGATGATGATCATGAAGCACAGTCATCATGACTCCAGAACTGTATATAGGAACCGGAAGGAAGTCAGAGGGATGAGAAAAAAAATTTACAGTAATCTCAATCCTCAATTCTTTTTTTTACGTTCTACATATTTTCTGGGGCACACAGTAGTGTAGCTTGTTGAGGCCATAGCTACAAGCAGGAAGATCGCGGGTTCGATTCTATATATCATTGGATTTTTTTAATTGACCTAATCCTTCCAACCGCACTATGACCCTGAGGTCGACTCAGCCTCTAACAGAAATGAGTACCATGAAACTTCCTGGGGGTAAAGAGCGGAAGGCGCATAGGTCTGACAACCTCACCGCCATCTGTGAGCCGACTCTCTAGAAGATGTGGGAGCGTCGACGTCTCACAAACATATGGCCCTCCATGGCCCGTTACAAGAATACCTTTTTACCTTTTACAAATCACCACGAGATTCATTTTAAGTGATAACAAATAATTACTCGTACGCTATGAAGAGTTCCAGCTTCTGGACTGTGATGCCATGTGATCCGACAGAAGTTCGCTGACGTTTTGAAGGAAGGCACTGCGTCCATCTTGAAGGCAGAAAAGTAAACCAAGCAGGTAACTAGCAATAGGCAGGCACAAAGCAGAAATCTTGAGATAGTACAGTCCACAGTCACTGCTATGTGAAACTCAGCTCCAAGAATTGTATTAACACCGTTAGGCAACAGAAATGTAATCAAATTTGGAACGGAGTTGGATTGATACTCTCGCATTGATACTTGGTTTATTCGGCGAAGTTCTGGCTTCGTAGCGTCTAAAAAGAGGATAATCGTGAAAGATCAATAGGAAAGATATGAATAAGGCAGTGGCATAATTTAATGTAGTACTCCAGTATTCTTCGAAAGGATCTCAGAAAAGAACCCGAAATATCTCACTCCGGGTAGCCGGTCGCTGATACAAGGTTCGAAATCTAGACTTCTCTAACACGATGCGAGAGCGCTAAGGGACAGGAGAGGTCCCTGATTTCTAAAAACATTGTTCCGATATACAACTGGAGGACAAGTTGGAATCGACAAAAAGCCTCAGATGGATAATCCGTCCTAGGATTGAAATTGAAGACAATAAGAAAATTATGTCAGGAACATTATAGAGCAGCTTACATCAGAATTTAGAACGTGTAAAGACGTCTCGAAGTTCCTCAAAAGTACGTAAACCTCATCGTGTCGCTGACTGGTTCAGTATCTGTACTTAACAATGTTTTGTGATTACTAAGTTTTATACAGTTCGTGTTCGCTTAGTGGGAGGTGGAGTCCAACTGGGTACACTCGGCACGGCGGCCACTGAATGGCCTATTGTAGCCTGCTCCGGGTGATTATGATGACGGAGAATTTGGTGGAATGAAGATTGGTAGGGAAAACCGAAGTACTCGGAGAAAACCCGCCCCAGCGCCACTTCGTCCACCACAAATTCCACTTGACCAGACTCGGGATCGAACCTGGGCCGCCGCGGTGGGAAGCCAGTGACTAACCGCTTGAGCTATGGCGCGGCCTATATTTCGAGTTACAACTATCATTTGATAATGCAGCCCACAGTTAGGGCGCGGACACACCAAGGAAACTGGCAACCGCAACCCAATCGCAATTTCCGAGAACGGTTATCAGCCTGAGTTGAACACACGTTACTGAATGGAGCACCGCAATTTGAGGAAACGGCAACGCTGTTAAAATTTTTTCATCGCTCTGTAGTAATAGCAGATATTTTATATTCTGTTACCGAGTGGAAAATTGTAGTAGACAAAAACATCTGATTGAGCTAGAAGTACTGAAACTGATATTGTAGAAATGGCTCAGTTTTATAGACATAATTCCCTAATTATTTTTTTCAGTAGTCTCTAGAATAAACAGTTTTGCTCCTGTTACATCATATCCTATTCCAGTCTTTGCAGTAATGTATCTTCAAACAATATAAAGATTATTTTCATGGTAACTTCTATATAGACTGTCAAACAGGATCATAGCTGCTGCGTGTAATTCATATTTACCTCTAGGCTTCATGACAGTTAATGGACCACTAAGTCTAGATGCACAAAGTGCTGAGAGCAGATGAAGCTGAACATTCCTACAAATCTGGCTGATTATCATTCTGGTGGATGGAACTGCTTTTATCTTCTTGGCTGGGTACAACAGAATTTTATTTAAAATAAAAGTATTTTGTATATTTTTTAATTCAAGACTTTTAGGAATCATTTAGGAACTGTAGCAGGGGCAAGTATTAGCTTACAACATCTTAATAAACAATTTTGTATAGTAAGAATTATACAAAACTTCCGTGGCTTTAGTCAGCAAGTGAACTATACCGACCGAGCGACCGCCACTTTTCGGCGAAGTTAGTGCCAACTTTAGGTGACAGAGGGTGTCGCGTTGTCAGCGCGGGGTGACCGCTATTATAGAATAAGATGTTTATAAGAAAATGCTACAGAAGGCCGGATGGGCATTGCGTAGTCTTTTTTATGTTTACAATAATTTGTATACAATAAAAAATCCCCTCTGCCGTTAATTTCCGTTTTCTATTCAAGTAGCTCCTCAGTTATCCTCTCGAGGCGGAGTAGACCCCGTTCCAGATCCACTACTTCTCAGAAAATCTAGTAGCGCCCGGAATCGAACCCGGGACCTCTGGACATGTAGCCAGGAACTCTGACCAGTAGACCACAAAGGCGGTCATGGTAGGAATTATAAACATGGACGTTATATCCGACAAGTTACATGTGGTCGGATTCTGTATTGACAAAAATTATGCACAGTACGGAAAAACAAACAAAAACTCCGTGGTTTTAGTCCGCAAGCGAACTATACCGGCCGAGCGACCGCCGTTTGTCGGCGAAGTTAATGCCAACTTTAGCGGATAGTGGGTGTCGCGTGTTCAGCGCAACGAATCCCCACGGCCGTTAATTTCGGTTTTCTAGACCGGAGCAGCTATTTCCTTACAATATCTCCTCAGAACAGTACAGATATTGACCACCGTGCTGCATCTTTCAGTTGTCATACTATTACGTAAGCAGAGCTGTGTACATTCGGGTCACAGGCACATGAATCTCAGGTTATCAGTATTACTGCAACGAGTCTCTGACCTTTGTATCTTACAGCGTATAAACTCATTTAAAGCAGAATTGTGGATGTAACGAGTATATGTCAACATCATTCAGATCCTACTGCACGTTGTAGTATCATAAAAGGGAAATTTTACGGAAAGAGAATATCTTAACTAGGCTGCACTCTATCTAGAACAATTAGAAATAAAAAACACAGAATAATTAAGAGTGGTGTCACGTAATCAAGGATAAATTTTATCAAGTTTAGTATACTGACGTGCGCAGTGCTGCACTGTTGTATATCGAAAACCATCCTCAGCGCTGTAAGTTTACTTGCTTTTATGTACAGATAACGCACTCCATTTTGAAGTATAATGTTAGGCAATCAACTGTTAAGTATTTTCAAGCGGTTGGAAACCAAGTAAGTCTTTTTTATTAATCCTATGAAATTGTCGGTTTGCATGCATTTTTTTTATAAATTCAGGAAATATTTTAACTCAAAAGTTTAAAATATTTTCGAGAGTAAAGCCATAGTAACGATTTTAATGGCATAACAAAAGCTTTGAAGAATTAATGACGGAAAATAAGAGCGTCCATAATAAGTGCACTTAAGTAATGATAATGTACAGAAGTACATATATGGAGAAACATAAAAGTACATGTAATATTTGAGGTTTTCACGGCGGTGACTATGACGAATGCCATCTTATGGGATGTGGCACCGTGTGGATCTTGTGTGAACCGACGTTTTGGACGATCGTATCGCCTCCATCTTTAGGGTAGAAAAATCTGAGAGCGAGGAACCAGCCTGAGCAGGTGGCTGCAAAACGTCGGTTCACACAAGGTCTACACGGCGCCACATTCCAAAACACGGAATTCTTCATAGAAATTGATGGTAAAATCATGAATATTCAAGTGGCATGTCATCTTTTGTCTAGAGTCTAAATATATATTCTAAACTAGCTAATAATACATTAAGTAAAATCGTATTCTGTTTTCAAAAATATAAATTAATTTGGCCCTAATAGAAGTGTGGTATTTTGTACACATTAAAATAAAGTTCCTTCGGGGTAAGACATGCAAAATAGCTTCTATCACAGTTAGATTACAGAGAGTTGCATAGATCTGTATATTTTCTACATCTGTATGACCACACACGAACTTACGAATTACTTGTCTCAGTATGACGTTACTGCAGAGCCACAGGAAGACCCAGATACCCACGATGGAAACAAGTCTCGCCGAACACATAAGCCGGTCATCCGAAAAGAAATTTCGTGAAATCTGTGGATCTGATAAAATATGGAACCCTGAACTACGGATGTCGTTCAAACCGGCACCCCACGTGTCTTGAGCTTCCGTGCCTACATATGCACTCCGGGCTCACCGTGCTGTGTTCCGCGTAATTATATTTCATGTGTACAGACTTAACATTTATTTGCGCAGTAGCACAAAGCCGCTTGAAATGTCAACAGAATATGGTAGCCGTATGAAAGAGTACTTGCTGTAGTATGATCCAGTCTTATGCATTAAAGTCCTGGAAAATCGCCTTGAAATAACGACGTCACTGAATATGCATAATGTTAACTTGAGAACTGCTGGAAATACTGTTACACAGAATTTATGGTAAAATCCCAGACCCTTGATATAATACAATAAACACTAGTCCCTGCTATGTAGAAGTACACAAAGCTGTGTGTTCTGTAAATGTGGACACGGCCGTTAATCTCGGTTTTCCATTCAAGTAGCTCCTCAGTTATCCTCACGAGGCTGAGTAGATCCCGTTCCAGACCCACTACTTCTCAGAAAATCTGGTAGCCTCGGGAATTGAACCCGGGGCCTCTGAATCTCTAGTCAGGAACTCTTACCACTAGACCACAGAGACGGTTATGTAAACGTATAACATGTATTATATTTATGCCTGTGAATCTCGTAAAATAGCAATTTCACACTTGATAGTTCCCTAGACACCCGCTAGCACTAGTTCCCTAGACACCCGCTAGCACTAGTTCCCTAGACACCTGCTAGCACTAGTTCCCTAGACACCTGCTAGCACTATCCGTACCTACATTTCATTTCACAAAGGTAACTATTATAAATAAAAGAAAATTATTTTCATGAAACAAAATCAGGAGGATTCGAAACGAAATTAAATTGATTCGCTAACTGGAAGATTCAGTAATTCATTTGACTAATTCACTCCATTTCCTATTTTTATATCTAGATCAATGAAGGAAACTTGATATTTCAGATCACCATGATGCTCCAGTTACTTCTCAGAAGAGGCGTCACAGTAATAGCGTGGTTAGCAACTACATTACTTCTAGGAGTAGAGACGAGGGATGAAAACGTTGACTACTGGATAAGGTCTGGCCAGGAACGTCTTCATTTTGAGATACGACGACAACAAGAAGCAGCTAGGTCAAAAGGAAATGTAGCGAAAAACGTAATACTATTCATTGGGGACGGCATGGGAATGTCCACAATCACAGCAACCCGCATCTACAAGAACCAACAAAAGGGTGGTTTAGGGGAAGAAAATGAACTGAGCTTCGAAAAATTCCCTTTTGTCGGCCTCGCCAAAACATATGAAGTCGATTATCAGGTAATCAAATATTAAACACTATATTGCATAACAATAATTTTCCATTAAAAACTGAAAATCAATTTAGTTAAAATCAAATTTTTGAAAGCTTGTCACTCGGCCCGATACAACACATTGATACAGGGATATTTAGTAAAATCTAAAACATGGTTTCTAAGTATTTTAACTACGAAGAAAATAATTTTTTCGATACCAGATGTTGCCAGAATGTTCATGAACAATAATCACATATATGGAAAAGTTTATCTGAAGGTTAGACAGTTATAAATTGTCAAAATCACGTAAAGGAATTTTAGATATGACAAAAGACAATTTAGATTTGGAAACATGATTTTCAGTAACTTATCTAACTCCATGGAGAAGAGTCATTTTTAAGAAGACGACACTATACTCGCTGTCAGGGGATCATAATGCCAGCCACTTACTTTTTAAACAATGTTAAGTAAACCTTATTCTCTCCTTTGAATAATGGTCAACCAAATTTAAACGGTTGACGAATATAATTTCTGTTACACCCTGTTGCAAAAGACTCCAGATTCCTTTACGATCTGAGTGAAGTTCTGGATTCTGAACTTCATTTCCGTAGTTATATTACATATTTCCTCAATATACACGTAGTAATTAACTGATCTAGTTCGCAGTGCAAACTTTTCCTTCTCTTTCCTATTTTTTCCTTTAGCGCTACAGCCCCAAATTTTGGGCCTCGACCTACCTCCATGAAACTCTCCGTTTCACTTCGATTTACTAGATCTGAGACATTTGGTAGGACTCCATGGGCGGGTGATCAGCTCGTCGCCAGGCCACTACTTTTACACAAACACAGAAAAACGCACACACACCAAACATCCATACCTTGAGTGGGATTCGAACCAACGATCCCGGCTTCCGAGCATGCCTTAGACCGCTCGGCTACCGCGACCGCCTCTCTTCCATTAACTGCCTCTAAATATTATACAGAATGAAATGAAATTTGTGCGCAAGCTTTGCATAATGTAATTACTTATAAAAAATATTGTACAACATATGAAGTGCGACATTTACGTCTCGAGATACACGTCATCGTCAAATTGCGCAAGCTATCAGAAGAACAAACCATGGGGACGTAGTCGTTACAGTAGGTGTTTTAAGTGGCCTCCGTCAAATTAAAGGAAGCCGACAGAGCGCTGCACGGTCTTCTGTCGAACACGCCTAACCATATTGTCACCGACCACCGTCAAGGCTGCTTGAGATTCTATCACGGGATAATCCACAATTCTAGGAGGGATTGCATGACGTGCCCCTTCATATATTCTCAGAGGCAAACGCATAGGAGTTAGAATTACCAAAAGAGGAGGTCATGCAATCGGCCCTCGACATGTAGTCCACCTGCCTGGATATGTCGCGATCAACCACTGCTTGACAACTTCCCCATAGTGAGCTGGAGTTCCGTTATGCTGAAGCCACAAACTTTACCCACAACCAGAGACACACCTTCAAGCAGCTTCGGTGGAACAGTTTCCAGAAAATCACGATCACCTTGAACAGTCAGCCTGTCAGCAGAATACAATGTCCCCGACGACTCCAGTCCTAACGCTGACGCTAAGCCGGATTTGATACCCACATTCATGGATAGCATGAGGATTATCCCGTGCCCAGAGGTGACTTGCTGATGACGTAAAACGTGAGTCTAGCCAGAGAATATTAAGATGAAGAAGCTGATCCGCCGGGTGTTGATGTCTTAGCCCTTCTCCAACTGGCATCCTTGGAGGGCGATCATGTAAACAAAGATACGCGCCCCGTAAGTACTGGTGAGGATGTAATTAATCGTCATTAAAAACTCCGAGGTGGGTCGCGCCATAGATCAAGCAGTTAGTCGCTGGCTTTCCACCGCGGGGGCCCGGGTTCGATCCCGGGTCCGGTCAAGTGTGATTTTTGGTGGACAAAGTGGCCCTGGGGCAGGTTTTTCTCCTAATACTTCGGTTTACCCTGCCAATCTTCATTCCACCAATGGCTCCAAAATCACCCTCACCTATCATCTGGGGCTGTTACAATAGGGCAGAAGTGGCTGCAGTACAGGGTCTCATGGAGACCCTGCTCCTGCATTCAAGTGTGAGATAGGTGTCCTGTCTCATGGAGACCCTGCTCCTGCATTCAAGTGTGAGATAGGTGTCCTGTCTCATTGAGACCCTGCTCCAATCATCGAAACATATCAGCGTCTTATTGTCGCCGACCAGGATAACGTACCGTGCATCCCAATGCAGCATTACCAACTCAGTTATCACAAGTACTGAGACTTAAGTGCATGCCGCAATATTCGTCGTGTGTGTATTCCACGATCATTATACCGGAGCCGATTGCTACTGAGCACTGTGCGTGTCTTAAATGCACCCATCAACGTGCTATGTATGGCCATGACAACACAGGCCATATGTTCCACATTATTTCCGACTTTTTGAGAAGGAATTATAATATGGAGAGCTTGTGGACGAAATTCGTTTCCCTCTGCATATTAACCTAATTAGATCTGAGCTTCAGACGCCTCTGTTGTTTCGAATTCTATTGCATATACTGATGCCAACAAACTGGATCGCATCCAACAGAAGTTTGCAGCCCTTTGTTTTAATTTTTTCTTTCAAAATTCCCATCACAGTCATGCTTATACACTGCATGCATATGTAAGAGGAAGATAAGCAAATGCATTGTGCCTTGATCAGGGCCGCGCCACAGCTCAAGCGGTTAGTCGCTGGCTTCCCACCGCGGAGGCCCGGATTCGATCCCGGGTCTGGTCAAGTGGGTGGCAAAGTGGCGCTGGGGCAGGTTTTCTCCGAGTACTTCGGTTTCCCCTACCAATCTTCATTACACCAACTCCTCCACAATCACCCTCACCTATCATCTGGGGCAGGTACAATAGGCCAGAAATGGCCGCAGTACAAGGGACTTAGTCCCACCCCACTAGCAATAAAAAAATGCTTATTCAAGTTCGCCTTGCTTCTAAATGCTGTCCTCTCTTGGAAACTATTTTTCATCCAGTCGCTGCTCAGTATATCGTAGACTTTTCTATATTCAATATCTACTCTTAAAGTTAGAAATTGCCTTCTTATAGATTCGTTTCAGCTGATAAAGTTGTTTTTAGGGGTTTTTACATATTTGGAACCAAAACAATTACCCTTAATCTTATATTATAATAATTCTATAATACGGCCATATGGATTCAAAATAAAGATACTGCAACATGATGCAAGTTTATTTTCGGTGATCAAAGGCGTAAAATCCGCCTCTGAAACTAAATCCAAATTAAAAACTTAAGTATTTAAGGTGGCATTTCCTATACCTGCGACGAAACGGCTGCGTTATCATAGCAACTCACACAAGTAAGTAGACAACTACACAGTTGAATCGTCATAGCACTCAGAGAGCGCACACCGACAGGCAAATTTCTCTGTGTTGCAAGTACAAGCCCTTACACCCGTAATATATCCAGTCGAGTCACTTTCAACTCCGCATCCTGAAAAATTAAGGAAGAGAAGACAAGCAAGTGAATTTAGAATTAATAGTATGGTCTTCCTTCAACCGTCAGGCCTATGAGAAAGATTACTATTTGTCAAGCACGAAACTAAATATAATTATTTTGCATACGTAGGTACCGGATTCAGCTGGCACAGCTACGGCAATGCTTGCTGGAGTGAAAGTCAACTTCAACGTAGCAGGTCTTGACGACAGGGCAAAATATAAAGTATGTGATCGTTCAATCAACGAGAAAGCGAAAGTTGAAAATATAATAACTTGGGCTCAAATGGCAGAAAAGGACACAGGGTTCGTGACAACGACCAGGATCACGCACGCGACCCTGGCAGCAGTGTATGCCCATACCAACAATCGCTACTGGGAGTGCGACTCCAAAGTGCCAGAAGAGTACAAGGATTGCGTGAAAGATGTGGCACGTCAACTGGTCGAAGACGAACCTGGAAGGTAACATCTGTTTTGTGTCTGAAATTACACACTAATTAGCATTAGTTCACGTGACAAGCAGGTAGACCTACGTGAGATCTGAGGCTCTCACAGATGTGGTTGTGAGGAATTATTTCTTCTGGGATATAGTGCAATGTGTTCCGTTATAAATGAACCAACTGTTCGGTGAAATATGTCGCGTTCGTCTCCAAGGCTGAATGCTGAAGAGTAAGCCAAGTATGAAACCAGCCTGAAGTAGGCAGCAAACCTTGCTTGGCTTATCATTCGGCTTGACGGTGCAGACGATATTTTCCTCTCTGACGTCGGTTTATTTTCAACGGATTATGCGGCGTTATACCCTGGGAGATGGAATTTTCAAGTAGATCTACGGTTCAGCAGAAGAGTAATATGACATGCACTTCTTTGAACTGCGACGAAACAACAAACTGATATGGGATTTAGTGGTTTTCCAAAGTCCTTCCAAGTCACTGACACAATGGTGTTTTAAAATATGCCACGACCACTTACGGAAATAGCTTCATTCACCATTCATAAACATTTTACCCTTCCCTTTTCGAAGCATTCGTCAATGACAATGTCGCAAACTAGAAACAATATTTTTACTTACGAAAGTATGAAAGTTATAGTTGTTTAAATATCCTTACAAACAAGGAACATAGCCATCGCAGCCCATTAATTCAGTCTTACTTCAGTTTGCCCAAAAACGTATCATTAAAACTATAATCTAACGCCGATGATCGTATTCAAATAACTTCTTCCAATTCTTAATTATTTACATGCAAAATAACAGCTCAAAGGCCAATTACAAAGTTAATTAAAAGTACCTGTAACATTCAAACTGGGTGTTAGGGGCAGACACATGCTTCGAATTGAGTTAACAACAATATCAACCATGACTATGATAATAAAAATGAAACTCAGTGTCCTCAGGAGTCATCCTAACCCCTCAGTATATGACTTAGATACAAACATAATCTCTGTGCCTAATAGATTTTTTTTAATATAAAATTACCTTATTCCAAACAAGATCAGAAATCCATACATTCGCGTCTTGTGATCCGAATCACTGATGATTGAAGTACAGAGAACCACGAAAAATACGGTCTTCTGGGTTGTAATACCGTGTAGTTTGGAGAAATCCCGACGTTTCGGAGGAACATAACGAGCATCGATACTATAATACAACGGAACATAATATGTGGAGCACTACAGGAATATGTAACCATTCTGGGCAGACAGACAATGATGTGAAACAAACAAAATGCCAGGAGCAGTATAACGTAATGGAAGGAATACAGGAAAAGTAATGCTAAAAAAATGTAAACACACTGGGCAGACAGGCTGACAAAACATCAGAAGCATTAGATAGTATGGGGCAGGCGGCTCGGCCACTTCCTTCAGGCAGTCCAAATATAATGGTAAATATTCTTATAAATCTTATCCACGTATAATCTTAATATCAACCATCAACATACGTGTAAAATCCTAATGAATGAATAAATACATAAACAGACAATAACTAAAGAAACTGTCATAAAAATATACCTTAACGATATTCAAAACATTTAAGTGATTCCACTCTTAAACTGCACCCCAGTCCCCTAGAACGTCGCTATGCTGTTATACCTATTGGTATTATATAGTACTTTCTTAAACAAATAAACTTACATGAGCTTTACCTACCCGGAAAACAACTTCAAAATATGAAGGGATTTCTTATAATAGTATGTCTTACTAAGAGGTCACACATGTTTAGAAACTGTCAAAACTGTTCATAACTTGTACTCACTAAATCCATCTGGTCTCCATGTTTGTATCCATGCAAAGCTCACGAAAACACTTTCGTTCTTCACAATTGGCAAATTCACTGGGTCTCTTGTTTCTTGAAACGGACACCTACTTTCAAAGCACAGTAACACCGATATCCTGCCGTCTCCGCAGCACTCGCCACTGACACTCGCCGAAGTATCCTGACGGTTCTCACGGTAAGCAATCCATATTAACGAAAAGATATATCTCGAAAAGTTAAGCAACATAATAATAACAGTTTGTCGAGAATATTTGGACCGAAGAGAGATGAAGTGACAGGAGGTTGCAGAAAACTGCATAATGAAGAGCTTCATAACTTGTACTCTTCTCCAAGTATAATTAGAATGATCAAGTCAAGGAGGATGAGGTGGGCAGGTCATGTAGCACGAATGGGGGAGACGAGGAATGCGTATAGGATATTGGTGGGAAAGCCAGAAGGAAAGAGACCACTGGGAAGACCAAGGCGTAATTAAAATGGATCTTAGATGGATAGGATGAGATGGTATTGATTTGATTAATCTGGCTCAGGATAGGGACCAGTGGAGTGTTCTTGTGAACACGGTAATGAACCCTCGGGTTCCATAAAATGCTGGGAAATTCTTGAGTAGCTGCACAATTGGCGGCTCCTCCAGAAGGGCTCAGCTCCATGAGTAAGTAAGTAATTAAGTAATAATAACAGTTATCCCGCAATTTCCCTTTTCATACTTACTGCTACCGAACGCTGTTAAATAACGCAGTGAATTTCTCGTCCTAAACATATGACTACTGCATACATATTCAGCAAGGTCAGAGTGTTTATGTTTGGTATACGTGTACTTAATACTTTCACTTTTGATGTATATTGCCTCTAAATAACTCGTTGCATATAAACAGTACAAGTATACACAATATAATGGCCTCAGTTCATTAGCATCTTTAGCTCTTCTATGAAACGTTTCATATATTCATTGCACAAGGAATATAAATGAACACATAATGGGGAGACTACCTCTCCATTAATATGTTTCGTCCCTGAAATTGACTGACTGCACTGAGCTGAATCTTTCTTCAGCCATTCTTCAGAATCTTGCTCAGCCATTGAAGATGTTCCCTACATTTTATTCAAGCCGAAGGTTTATTCCAGTGTTCACAGGAGCCTGTCAATGATACTTATTCTGAGTCAGATGAACCCAGTCCACATCCTAACCTATTCCACTACGGCCCATTATAATCTCATTGTCCAATCTACACCTATGTCTTCCTAATAGCTCTTTCATTCAGCATTTCCCACAAAAATATTTTACGCATTTTTCTTTTGTCATGCGTACTGCATGCCTGTCCATCTCATCGTCCTTGGCCTGACAATCCAAGTAATTGAAAACTAGATAATAAATTTTACCCACAAAAGCTATTGAGGGTACAAACAAAAAATGTAAATAACACAATTTTGGTTCATATCAGCCAAATATAACCATTAATTTAAATTAAGCTAACTTTGAACTTCTACTATTTTCTTATGAATGAATCAAAGTAACAAAAATCAGGACATGACATAGAAATCATTAAAATTTGAAATTTTCTTTGAAGCACTTTTTAAGTGCTGCATGTTTAATTGAAGACATACATATCTCTACATACACAAAGGTGTGCAGAACTTGAAAACTTAAACTTTATTTAGTAACATTTTGAGTGTTTAGTAAAGTAGAACTGTCTTGAGTTTACGCCATACCCCTCATTTCCCACTGTTGAGATAATACAAAAATAAGAGTTTATATACCATAGAATGCCCATTGAAATCAATGGTAAACTACAAATATTAATACAGTAATCTTGTTTGGTTTTTAGGTATCTAATTCCAGAGAAATGCATTCTTCATTAGAGGAAATATAAATAGGCTGTAGCTTAGAAAGCATTGTTTAGAAGAAGTAGTGAAATTTAGAAGTTTGTTGTAATAAAGAACCATGTGATTCATTCATATTTATAATATAATAAAGCTGCTATTCAAAAAGAAAACATGGGAACTGCTTTACTAAACAAGAAAATGTCTGAAAATAGTACATCTGTAACATATTCAACATACTGCATTAATAAAGTAAGTTCATTTTGTCAAATATATCATTGAAGAGCCGGTCATGGTAGCCGAGCGGTCTAAAGCATGTACTGTCTTCGCTCACTTGGAAACCGGGATCGTGGGTTCGAATCCCACTCAGGGCATGGATGCTTAGTTTGTGTGTGCGTTTTTCTGTGTTTATGTACAGGTAGAGTCCTTGCGAAGAGCTGATCACCTGCCCAAGGAGTCCTATCGAATGTGTAAGATCTAGAAAAACCGAAGTGAACAGAGAAGTTCATGGAGGTAGGCCTAGATCCACTGGAGCTGTAGTGCCAAGAGAAAAAATATCATTGAAGAAGCAATTAACAGTCATGAAAGACAAATTAAAATACACGTACATGCAGAATCCATTCTATACAGGCATTCTCCAAAGACACAATTCCCATTGCAGTTTGAAGTCATATCTAATAATCTAATATATTTCTGTTTATTTCCTAGTAGGAATTACAGTGAGGTGATTAATGGCATCAGGCATAAATATGTACCACAGAACAGTACTATTTTGTTGCTGAATACTGCTGAAATTAATGGGTAGTGTTATTCATATATGGTTGGCTGTAGTCAATGGCAAACTGACAATATTAATTCAGGAATTATATTTGTTATAGGCTGATTCCAGTGAAAGCCATTCCTTATTAGAAACAAAAAATACAATACTTGTTCTTCTGTGACCTGTTACTTAACTTGCGCCCATGCAATGAGCTAACAATCAATATATCATTATTACAACAACCTGAAATTGCATACTTCAGAGTTTCACTTACAGTTACAATTTTTATATATATAATCAATATATATTACATATTAATAATTAAAATTATGAAAATCCTCAAACTGGATAACCAAGTTTGGTACCTCAAGAATATAAACCAGGCTCATTAACCTGGTGTCAACCTACTCCATGTAAGATGGAAAACAAACCTCAACTCTGACTTTGACATGTTTTTAATCTAATGGGCCAGACTGACTGACCACAATTTCACCAATGAGCATAAAGAGCACTTCAAGACAATAGTGTTCATGTGATAAATGTGACACAACGTTTGTTAGTAATATAATTAACGGTCTGAATAATACACAACTTCCATCATTACATACAGGAACCTGAAGGTGATTCTTGGAGGTGGAATGAATCAACTTGGAGTGCCTGTAAAACAAGGAGATTATGTTTTCTGTACTCGAGATGATAAGCAGAATCTTGTGGAGAAGTGGAAAAAAGGAAGGAAAAATTATCTGTTTGTGAACACAACTCAGGACCTCATGGATGCTGACCTTACTAAGGTAAAGAACAGTACACAGCTAAACATAATGTAAGTCTGTAAGTTTTGAGGTTTTCACGGCGATGACAATGAAGAAAGTCGTCTTCTGGGTTTAGGCACCGTGTATTCTTCGTTTTGGAGGAACGTAGCGCCTCCATCTTCAGAGCAGTTGAATGGCTTGGAATGCAGAGAGCAGTAGCTGTAGTGCCATTAAACTGCTCTGAAGATGGAGGCGCTACGTTCCTCCGAAACGTCGGCCAAAGCGAAGAATACATGGTGCCTAAATCCAGAAGACAACTTTCTTCATAATGTAACTCTGTTTAGTAAGTAAAGTGGCATGAGCTCAATATCTAGAGACAGTAATGGGGTTTTCATTACTATAACCTGAATTGATCTGGGTTCTACCCAGGCTCTTTCAATGGGAACTAACTGTGCATTACTCTAAAATAAATGCAGACCAATATGAAGCCAGTTACTCTGGTCAGAAAATTTGATATGTCTTAAGACATTCATCTAGAGTGGTAGTTCTTACTATCTCTTACTATCCACTGCACACCAACACTTAATATAATATGTATTTTTCAAGGTCTGGCAACATCAAACTGAAACTGCTGAGTTTTCTAGGCATGTCCTCTATGCTGAGTTTATATATGGGTGGGGGGGCATTTAACTCTTGCTTATTCACCTGACACCACATGATGCCAATAGTAGAAAGCAGTGACAGCCTGCTATATCTTATGACACCAGCAGCAATGAAAGTGTTAATAACTTATGTTCAATCAGTATGGGATTATTATGTGTACCATTCTTTCCAGGAAAGATTTCTCTTACTAAATAAAATATCAAGAGGTTCTTGTCAATCCAAGTTTCATCACTATCTTTCATAGATTAATACCTAATATAGAAAAAATTATACTTCCTCACATACACATTTGTGTTTTACTAATGAGCAGCTGTTATTCTATATGGGCAATGAGTTAAACCTTTTGCTTGAACCAGTTTTGTTGAAGTATTCACATCTTATTTCAGAGATAAAATGTGAACATTTATATTTGAGAAGAAAATTAAAATTTTAAGCTGGGCCAGCTGGTATTCCTTATGCAACTCTTTGACAATCTACTGGAAATGGCTAATGGTAGAATGTCAGGGACTGGATACGAAAGTTTGAGTTACTATTGTGCACTTAAGACATCTTGATACCACATAATTTTTTTTTCAGGTGGAATATCTAATGGGTTTGTTTAGCCCTGGTCATTTACCCTATGCCCTGGAACGTGATACAAGCCCTGCTGGACAGCCATCACTTCTCAACATGACAAAACAGGCACTAAAACTTCTCTCCCAGAATCCCAAAGGCTATGTACTTCTGGTTGAAGGTGGCAATATTGACAATGCCCACCACGCCGGTTATGCCCGTCATGCATTGCATGAAACATCAGAAATGGATGATGCTGTAGCATATGCTGTTCAAGTCACAAATCCAGATGACACACTAATCATAGTTACAGCTGATCATTCACACACATTGACCATTAGTGGCTATCCTGAACGAGGAGCAGATATCCTAGGTATGTGCAAGAGCACTTGCAATATAAATTGTTCCTAGTTTAGATGGATGAGGTTTGATATTTTACATTTTGGGCCACGCCATAGCTCAGGTGGTTGGTCGCTGGCTTCCCACCGCAGCGGCCCGAGTTCGATCCCAGGTCTGGTCAAGTGGGATTTGTGGTGGACAAAGTGGCACTGGGGAAGGTTTTCTCAGAGTACTTCAGTTTCCCCTGCCAATCTTCTTTCCACCAATTGCTCCACAATCACCCTCACCTTTCATCTGCGGCAGGTACAATAGACCAGAAGTGGCCACAGTACAAGGGACTTGGGCCCACTCCTACTAGCAATAAAAAAAATACATTTTACCTAAGTTAGCCAATTTCTTTACCCAGTCATCACATTTCAACATATTCCTATCCACCATTCATAGTTTTGTCTCAGAATGCAAGCTTGTTTGCCTGTTTCAGCAATTCACTTTAATATTTTTGACTAATTTTTTGTCTCAATTCCAGAGGCCCTAAGGTTTGTATGACATACATTTCCAAATTTTCATGTGGATGAGAAATTCACGTAGTTCTTCTCTAACAGAAATTTGTACCTGATAACAGTTATTTTGCAGTAAATGATACAAGTGGAGGAAGAAATTAAAACATTGGTGTTGAAGGGGTCTATGGAAGTGAGGAGAGCAGTAAATACAAACATATATTTTTGTGTATTCTCAGCATACTACCAGCAGAATTTGATAAAATTTGTTGCATAGGTGGGGGTACACTATAAATCATTGGGGTAAATATAATTTTGGTTTCTGTCAATCCATTAAAATGTTTAGCATATACAAAACATTAAAAAAATCTTTAAAACTGCTAAAATGGGTTGTCATATAAGAAGTTTGTATGTATCATAGAATGTAGACCACATCAAGATCTACAATGTTTATGTGGAACATATTGCAACATGTGTATTCAGTGAAATATGAGGGTAAATTAAGCATTCACCTCTGCAGTGACATGTATAGGGTAGAGGGGGAAATTAACGCCAGGCAGATAATGCCACCAGTATTTATTGCAAGTAGTTCCAAAAATATCATTGTGAGTTCGTCAGGGTTTAGTTGGTGTGAGTCCTGTATCACATCCACCAACTACGAGTACCATGTCACCTTGCAACCGTCGAGGTCCTTCTCAGTAGGCTGCAAGAGCTCAAATTGTCATCACACGTGAGTTGCTCCCTCTATTTTGGGACACCTGAATATTCACTAGTCAAAGTTAAGAATCTCAGTGTTAAAAAAAAATAGCTGATATTATTAAAGCTTTTACATGACTGAATGCCATGCTTATTGTTCTTCCTGGGAAGAGTTTTAGGAGGCTCATTCATTTGATTTCTTTAACGTCATTCTGCGATGAACAAGAACACCACAGTTAGTGTAATACATACGAAAGCCACCCGTTTTATTTTGCGTTTTATCGAGTTTTATGTGAAAATGAAAGCCACATTTTAAGTAGAGAGATTAACTTCTTTAGCACAACATAATTTGTCATTTATGTTGGTGTCTTCAAGCTACACTCGTTTCTGTCGCTCATTTCATCACATACAAGTAACTATCATTCTGCCATCATTTTTCTTCCTCTTTATTTTAGAATTCTGGTCTGAAAATCTGACAGTATTCTTTTGAGATCATGGCAAAAATATGCAAAAGCGTTAATAATAATAATAATAATAATNAAATATGCAAAAGCGTTAATAATAATAATCAGAAATGTATATATGATAATACAGGTGTCAAATGAAGGTGCTTCAAGATTGCATGGCTTAGCACAGTAGATACCAAGCAAAATTTCTGTACCAGTTCTGATGATAAAAAAAGAAGAAATAATCAGTTTTAAATAATACTTTCACATAGTATGAGTGACTACAGATGGGGGTTTTGATTGGATATTGGATTTACTGACCACTTTAACACACGATTCGTGACTACATATAATTATAGCGCTATCACTGAATTTCACATGTTACACTTCACTACAGCACACACACTAAGTCTTTGTCATCCTGCACTGTCTTCACTAGTAGTTGCCTGGTAATTGCTCCAACAATGGCTATTCCTCCTTCTGTGCTGAAGTCTTTTCTGAACAGCGGCTCTCTTCCATCACTCTTCCAACTATCCCTTTTCTTCACAGCCCACCATACAGAACTGACTGGGTTGCCCCAGTTGCCTTCCTTATAACCCCTTTCCATGGCCTGAGTACAAAACAGTTTCCAACAGTACCTCTATTGTTGCATGTGTATCCATTGCCATGGGGACGTGTTTACCAAGCCATTGCCTAGAAACAGGTGTTGTTTCAGAGCCATTTGCTAGCAACAGCTTTTCTCTGGCTCCACAGTTCTTGCTCTGAGCAAATATGCCACAGCATTTTAGAGAGGATGTTCAAAAACAAAAGGCTATAAAGATATATAATTATATGTTTGAAAAACATTCAGGTACTGAGCATATTCAGGGTGTGCAATTAATGAGAACT